TACGGTGTCTGATGGCTTTGAAAAATTATAATACCAAACAGGTTAGAAGAGGGGAAAGGAAATACACATTCAGGAAGGCATTGCATCAGGAAAAGGCCACATTTTCACACTGTCCTACTTTTTAATCCATACTTGATAATATAATATCTCATCTACATACACACACACACACACACACAGCCTTCTCACTGAGCCCTTTTTGTCATCTTGGCTGAAAGAGCTTTGAGTCACCATGTTCGAATATCAATAATTCACCAGATAATACAATGAATATAGCCATAAACACAGTGTATTTGGTGTTGCCAAGGATGCCGTTCAACAAGAGAATTTTCTGGACATGCAGTCATGTGGCTTGCTGAATGCACAGTGCTGCGCTCTTATAACTCCATCAGCAGGGAAGATGAATGACAGTGAATGAGAGGGACATTCACAGCATGACCCCAAAAGCACCAGCTAGTCTAGTAAACAAGCACAGTTTCCGGTGACCTCATACAGTGTGATGTCAACAGATGATAAGACAGAAACGACTGATAACATGTTTAATGGATTTCAAGAGCAAATCATACCCACTCCAAAAAAGAAAAACACATACATAAGTACATAAATAAATAATAATGGTGATCTGTGTGATCTATGTAAACTAGTAGAGTGTATTAGGGGTAAGATGTGGCCAGGCTTTGCGGTTTTCTGAGCTGAGACACAGAAGCTAATCCTCTCAGAAAAAGAGAAAGGAAGCTAACCCTGATGCAGCCCAAACCCTTTTCCAGTTTGTCATTCCACACTTCAAAGCGTACATGATGAAATCCCCCAAGGTATTATAAGAGCTCTGGCATAGCAGCCATCCCCAACCCTGTCCCAGCCTAATGCCTCATAAACGGAGTCTGGAAACATGTCTCTTTACTATTTCGAAAGTCTTTGTAGCCTTGGATCTTTAAGAACCTTTTAGAGTTGCAGGGGAAGGGGTGCTTTCCTACTGGAGGAGATATGAGGCATTTGTGAATCATTATGCGGCCAAGGGATTCCTGTCCACTCACCATAAAATACTGCACATACAGTATGCACATGCGCCTCTTTGAGAATGTTTAGATCAGGACAGGAACCAGGCATTGATCTTCTTCAGCGCTTTGCTGAATGAGCGCTTATACAGAAATATAGTGCAGAAGAAAATACAGGTCCTAGATAGAGACAGGCATGTGATTTAAGACATTCAGTTCCCAAAGCACTAGGTGACGCCACTAATACAGCTTGCTGAGCTGTCAGATTATTGGGTTTCATAAATACATGCATTATTGGTCGCCAGGCTCAGACTAACCTAGCCTGCTGGGTAGAACTGAGAGAACATAACAGTGGATGTTAGGTTCTAGATACTATGTAAGCAAACACATGATTGCAATCCATTTAAACAAAAAAAAAAATCTCATAACATTTTTTGTTCAAAAAAGTAAATATTATTCCTGGATTTAGCTACTACTTCTGGGACAGTGAGTTGACATTCAAAATGAAAGGCCAAGTGTTTTAGGTCACTTAGTCTATAAAATGATTACCAAAGCCCAAGGTGACATCTTCAAATTGCTTGTTTTGTCCAACCTGTAGCCCAAAACCCCAAATTATTCAATTTGCATAATATAAAGCAATATCAAAATGGATGTTTGCTGTCGATTGTCTAATCTGACTTGGTTCGTTTTAGTGCAATAATGTATGCTAGGATAAATATCAGTGCACTTTGGAACAAGACAACAAATAATAGCAACGTGTAAGTGCGATTTTTGTATAAGATTTCCGCCAAAGACTGAGTCAATACCTGAACTGATATTTAATCTATTTATCTGTAATAATTAAAGGCATCAATCCTGTTAAGATCAACATTATGCACCGTCATGATACTTGTGCAGAAAATGGTAGTAATGGTTCCATTTAACAGCTGATTCTACTGTATAGAAGTAAGGTTCAGCTGTTACCCTTTCTGCTGTAGTATCTCCTATTAATCCCTTAACCCGACTACCTCACACCCTCAATTTGGGCCAACTGCCAAACCTGCTCTGTGCCATCTTTCAAAATGGCAGAAAGGGCACCGAAACGGAGCGTGCACTGACGCTTTAAACAAGGACCATCAGAATGTGGTTTGTGTATTAACTCAGATAGCACCTGATTCTGTGTGTGTGTGTGTGTGTGTGTGTGTGTTTGTGTGAGAGAGAGAGAAAGAGAGAGAAAGTGAAAGAGATAAATTGAGAGGACTCAGTCTGCCCCCGCTGTTCTCACTCAGCAGACTTGTGATAAGGTTTATCTCCGGTGCCTAACGAGTTTGCCCAGTGCCCCTCTCCAGCTCCCACTGAGTGGACCAGGGTGCAGGGAGTTGCTCACAGCCAGTGGTGGGTTGAGCTCCCTTAGGTGACCTGTGCGTGTTGTTCATGCTACGCTGCTTTAGAACTTTATTTTCTGTAGGAAATGGCTTCAGCCCCTTCGGCCACATCTCTTTTAATCTGGGATTTCTTTTTTTGCCTCCTTTTCTTCATCCTTTCTACTCACTGTAACTCAGACTGCCAAGAGAAGCTGCAAGAGCTGGAGAAAGAGATGCTGCGGAGCTTTGGCACAGAGAGGCGTGTGTGTCCCAGAGGCAGTGGCTGAGGCAAAGATGGAGACACAGAGAGGGAGAGGGAGGCTGCTGCTGAGTTAAGCCCCTAATCACAGTCTGCTCTGCATGAAGGACTTAAAGTCACTCCATTTAATGCTACCTTCTCTTTAGTCAAAAAAGGGAAAGAAATACTACTGCTTACCTCTTCAGCTCTCTGATACCCAGGCCGCCATTCCTATCACATATCTATTCATTTGATGCACAGAAGTGCACAGCTCCTGCACAGTATATAGTCAAACAAATACAGAGAAAACTGCAACTCAAGCACATACATGGAGGCAGGAGAACAGTATACTTGCACACACAGCAATGCAAGCATAAATGTTTCCTTTCTCGAATCCCACATTAGCCTTTATAATATGAGAGACTATTACAGCTCTTTCCAGCGATGACTCATGTGAAAACACACATGCTCAATTTGATCATTCTTAGAAAATAGAGCCACATGAAACAATTTCATGGTAAACCACATTTGTGACTGACATGGCTGCAATGCCCTTCACTGGCATGCTCAGGTGCTTCATTTGTTTGTGTCAGAAGTGGAGAATATGAGCAGATCCTCAGAGACTGCAGGCTCCCACTGGTTCAAAATATATTAATTGACTTGGCTCTGCTTCCAGCCAGGTGTAACACACTTTTGCAGAATACTCTGGAACGGCGGCAAGATCTTTTGGGAAATCCCACCCCCCACTGTGTCAAAGCTACATTTTTCGCACTTCCAGCTGCTGTTTCCCCTCACCTTCCTCTCTCATCCACATGGCTAGAAGACTATGGGTTGGCGTATAGGTCTTAATCTAATGCTGGAACATTGATTTATGCTTGGGTGTCCCATAGCCATTAAGATAATTGCATGATCACTTTATAACATCCTACCCTGGTGGCCATGGTAATTTGGCTCACCCCACCGCCCACCTTGCTCTGTAAGACCTGTAACCACATTATAGTGATAGAAAATGTGGTTGGAAATATCATCTTTCAGCCCCGGCAAATTGATTTCTTACCATTTCCACTGACTTCTAAAACCCTTTTAGTCTATCTCTCACCTGTGCTGACCATCTGATCTATTGGAGGCTTCTAGGTCTTAACAGCTTGTATTGATCGAAATTCTTCAGCCAGCATCTTTAAGGGATGCTCTCGTGTCACCTTGCAATTCCAGTAATCTAGGTATTTTTTTCTGAGATCATCACTGAGACAATGTATTTTTAGCTGTTAGGGCAAGGCAAGTGAGCTTTGATTCCATTCAATGAGAAATGGCTGTGTCATATGGCAATATGATCTCTTTCGACAAAATCTTTATTAAAATAAAAGATTCCACCGCCACTACGGACAAACTGCTGCTTCAGAGGAGAAGTTAGTGTCAGTGAAAGTCAAATTGCTTTGACAGATTGATTCAAAGGGAGGCACTTTGCTTCCTGAGTATAAACACTACCATTCCATAAACACTTAACACATCAAAATCCTTGCAGCTAAAGTACAAATGGCGAGCTCAAAGAGATGCAGTGATTTGAAACTAATCCAGCTGAAAACGTCTTTTATTCCACTGTTTATTCTTAAATACTTAATCAGTTATTATTAGTCATAGAATTAGTATTATTGTTGTGCATCCAATTAAATTACACTGATAACAACGAGGGTATTAAGAAGCAGAATTCCTTCACAGAGTTATATGCTAAGTGTTTCATCACTGGGAGGTACACTTCCATGTCATGACTCAGCATTTAGTTTGATTTTATTATTTATTATTTTATTATTTGAATTTATTATTATTTGAAGTATTTAATTTGGTTTTGCATTAAGGTTATTCTGGAAAGTTTTCATCTGAGCTGTGACCAGATAGGGCTGGGCAGTATGACACGATATCTACCAGGGGATGTTATAAATGTACTACTAAATTAACTATCAAAGGTTTCACCATATTGTTTACATCAAGATAGCCACACCTTCAAATGTATTACAAATTAAACAGCAGGATTGCTTTTTGCTATAAAGAAATTACATTTATCGGGTATTTCATTCACTGTATTATTTACAAATACATATTCAAATGTAGTTGTTTTATATACGTCTCTGTTGAATTTACAAATAGAAATGCCCAGGTGTGCCAGCATGTACTCTATATATCCACCTGTGTTGCACTGATCATCAATAGGGAATGAGTAGGCTGAATCCTGTAATGCCTCTCTCTTTACTTGAGAAATTTCTACACTGACGCTATCACACATGACGTGCAAATATGGAAAGACTATGAAATCTTTCTTCTTTTTAAGAAAGTTAATCTGATTTCTATTATTTGAAATTTCAGAACATGTGGTAAAACAGTAATCTTTAAGAAATTATCTTTGTTTTGTAATGGTTGAAACGGATTTACCTTTCTCTCTGGTGACTTAGTAGCAAAGACAGACATGTGACAGGCAAGCAGCGGACACCAGAACGGGGCCATCGTCTTCCCTTCGTCCTCTCCACATAACCAGCCTGGTGAATTTTCCTCTCCTGAAAGAGAAAGAAAAAGAGAGACTTTTTCATTCTCACAAAGGCGATATTAACTTATTGTTGTTGTAGTTTACCATCTTGTTTTTGTTGTACTAATTGACAGCTTCACTCAGAAATCTCCTTCAAGCTATGTCAAAACCACGCAAAATAATCAGAAAGATATTTCTCTATGTCAGGTATATAATATAAATATGGTGTTATTAGCATGTGAATGTTACAGTCAGCCAGAGGCTTATTCCATGTTGTAGGAGTCGAGGCCAGGTACTGCCAACGCAGGGCCTCAACGGTGATTAAACCTGCACTTAATCAACAGTGAGAGTCAGTCCTAGCAGGAAAAATGCAACTGCTGGATTTGAGTTCGAATAATGGATTTGCCTGGCGTACACGCCATCTCAGCGCTCATTGCTCTGAGCCTTAAAACAGGTGGACCTCTGACAAGGTGGCAGGCAGATCTGCCAAAGTACCTCCATTACGTAATTTTGTAATCATAAATTTTCATTTACAGAAAGTAAATTGTGCATGAAATTTAACAGCTTGCTGAAATGTGCTGCCTTGTTTGTTTGCATACATTACACCTTGGAATAAGAATAATGAAAAACATGTAGGTGATTTTTTTCTTAACAATTTCCACTAAAATTATTGTAAAAAAAGTGACATCATTCTTGAGAGTTTGAAAACACGGCATCACAGTGGAGCAAAATCCTTGTCATAATTTAAAGCTTGTTTATAACAAACAAAACATGTTTATGCTGCGCAAGAAGCTACAAAAATGATCAAGGACAGGAAGGAAGAGCATTCCGTGTTGTGTCTTTCAATGACTTTCTTCTAGTGTTTGTTTGTTGTTGGGCCTGTCATATTTCGAGTTATATTCACTCAACTGCATTCTCAACAGTGGATGGATAAAACATCTGCAAATAAAAAAGAAACTATCTGCATGGCTACACAACTCCAGGGTCAAGATATATGAAATAAAAAGTAATTAGGCTCACAAAAGATGTAATGTACAGACGTCATGTTACTTTGTCAAAACCTTGCACTTTGCACTGACAAAAGAGAATAAATTAGGTATGTCAAGATCATCAAAAATGTCAATTGACATTTTCACAATGCATTTTTGAGGAGGTATTTAACATGATAAGGTTTTAGATCATTCAGTCATTTATAATTACACTCATCTCAAGTTGTGGAATATTGAGGGAAGGGGCTTTAATTGAGGGCACATTGCTGCAGGTGGGGCAACAGGTCCAGTGGTTTCCTTTACCCGAGAGTGATCATCAACTTTCTTCAGCTAAATTATCATAAATAATGTTCCGTTTGTATATGCATGACAGTAAGCTTACTTACTGAATTTGTCTGTCAGTAAAAATGAATCTAGTTACCAATTTAAAAGAGAGAGATAAACACAGAGAGACAGATAAACACAGAGAGACAGAAAGGGACTGGGATACATACAAAAGACAGAGACAGAACGTGGATGTGAGAGAACACAAATTAGCCTTAACCTTCAGTCATTGCCATGTAGTAATGATGATGAATAACGGTGAACAAATGACAAGCACAGGCCTAAATTGAAAACGGCACCAACTAGGGACATGCAGGCCACTCACCTCTACACACTGTCTCTCTCTCTCTCTCTCTCTCACACACACACACACACACACAAACAGTTCTTTATTTATAAATTCATTTCATCACTTGGACCCTTAAAACACATGAAAACAAAACACTCAAGAGTTGTTGCTACATTGCACCCCAATCTATAGCAGAAGGATTACTTTATTTGTGGGTACATAACTTTCAGTTATTGTGTTGTGTCCCTGCTACAGTGCCCTGTGAGTTCTGTCTAATACTACATTCACATCATGTTGGATTTACCATAAATAGAACTTACCGACGAGAAAAGATTACTAAAAAAACATTCACGTCAGCCTTGTAATGGTAATTACAAGTAGGGGCCTAGGACATGTGACTTACTCCCAATATACACCAATTAGTGTCAAATTGTGGAAGTATGTCAACACAGGAAACAAAATGCAGCAAAGCCACTAATGCAAGCAGTCAGATATAATAAAAATGAAAACACTAAGAAATACAATTAACTGGTTATTTTGCATGTGTGTGGTCAATAAATTAGACTTGGAATATGGATTCCACATACAGTAGACTGTAAAAATTCCATATGCTGATGCTATTTACTGTTGATGCTGTTTACATTCAACCCATGCAAATTCAAAAAATGCACTGTGGAATGTTCGGGGTGTATACGTGTCTGTACATATGTATTAAAATAACTGTATTGTTTTATTTTGTTTTATATGTTACCATATTTTAATATAGGCCTACACTTAATTATATGTTGTGTGTTTAGCATGAAGGAACTAGAAATTTTGTTTCGTTATACAGCCTTGTGCTGTATAATGACAAATAAAGAACCTTGTACTTATTTCCTGCCATCGTAGACAATGTTTCACTGATTAAAAACAAACATTTTACTTTATTTGGTACAAGGCTCTGTTCAACTTCACACTGGTATCAAGAGGCAACCATATGCCTCCATTGCAGCAATCTATAACAAAAGTCAAAACTGCATTAAATATATAACAAACTAATAACGTCATTTGGGAAATCAGAGGTATAACGCAAGGATGCAGTCTGAGCACCACTAGCACATCATTTAACATTTTTATCAAGTAGAGTTGTCACAAAAACAGGTGTCATGTCACCTGGGCTCACTGTAGACCAGGAAATAAAATGTCTCCAATATGGAGACAACCATATCATATTATGCTCAACACCACAGTTGTTTTGCTGTAGAGTAACCGTTATTAACCAGAACAAAATCCAGGAGTCAGAAATGTAATTGTCATTGAACTGTTTAAGGTCAAACATTTACAAACACCACCAGTGTGGCTTGACCATAAGCTCACCTGGGTGGTTTGACACTGTAATAAAGAGCCTAACTAAAAAGACACGCATGCTGAGGCACATTTTAAACACATTTTTTTGGTTCACCCAGTTCAAGAGGAGGAGAGAGGTAGGCTTTTACAGGGATAGCTACCACTTGAATGGGTAGTGAGTGCACTTATCGTTTCAAGATAAACCAATAACAAGATGGTCCATTACAGAGCTATGCCAATACTCTACTCTTATAACTTCTATTTCCGGTGCCTAATACAATTGGGATATTATATTAATCCTGGATCTGCCTTTGCTGCATGGATAAATTGCATTGAGGACTACTTACAGCTACATTAGTACTTCCGCAGTTGCCAGGGGGTATATGGAAAGATTGTTCAGTAGCTCAGCTAGTTTGAAAAAAAAAGTATTTGGGAGAAAATTAATGCACAAATACCAAATTGGTGTGAGGCAACGTGATCTGTAGTATATGTATTGTCAGACTAACCTAAACAAGCCAATTGCATATAAGACATTTCCCACCAACCTGTAACCTACAACACCTGAACACCACGTTCTGATATAGTTAGCAGGAGAAAAGAGGTTGAAAGAGAAGAGAGGTAATGTTGAAACTTCCTGCTTCTGCCAGTAGTACAGGTAGTAGTACTAATGCAAACTTGACTGAACCTACACATCAACAAGCTTTGGGGGGTACATCAGATGAAAAATAGGTTGGGAACCATTGGATTTCTGTATCAGTTTTCATAGAACTAGGATTACAAAATTTAACCATTTTTAATATTATCAGAGATTTACAGTAACGCGTTACTGTAATAATATTACTTTTCTAAAACGCTAATATTATTCCTAGTTACTAAGGCAAGTAAAGCTGCGTTAGTCGTTACTGAACGCACCATCCTTGACGTAAATCCACGACTGTGCGACAGCTCAGCGGGACCGGACTTTGATGTTCATGTCCGCTGATAGCCAAACACTAAAGGAGGAATGTAGAACGAGGGAGAGAGGAGTTCTTTCCACAGCTGTAAGTAGCTGCAATTTTTTGATAAAAAGGTAAAAGGTGTCACAACATACTATTATAAATGAAGCATTGTGGTGCTACAGAGATGCCCTGGCCTTCAAATAATTTTCACCAGACAAGAGAATACGCTTGTTTGGTACAGACACCAGGAAAAATCACATCATCATCATTTTTATCAGTGAAAATGAGACACTAAAATTACCAGTCCACTAAAATCGTGACTCATATCACAATCAAAAATTTGTACTTCGCTGAGCACAGACCTGATGGAGAGCTGTGTTCATTTCCATATCAATGTACGCCGCAAATTAAGCACTTTTAATGATAAATACAGCTAAACAAGGTATTCTAGAGGAAAAGGTGGTATTATAGTCAAAGCCAATTCTGGTAAGAATCTTTTATTAGTGAAAGCAAAAAGTGCTTTATTGTCATTTTACAACTTTTTTACAAATCACTTTCATGTTTTGAAAAATAAATTATAGTCAGGTCGAACGAGTTGTAGTTTATTTATCTGCAGTTTTAATTAAAGGCAATTTAAATGAGTGATTAGTCTCCACAAGCTAAAGGTTAAGGTCAGTTATATCTACTGTACAATAACTACATATAACAACATCATTTGTGAAGGTGTAGGGTTGGAATACTAAGTAGGGAGATTGAGTTTCTCAGTTTCTTTATTCCAATCATGCTTTTGTTTCAAGTCTTTCGCTGATGAAGATTAATTTGCAGAGCATGGCGCTCTATCAACCCCAGTGACACAAAGGGCATAGATATAAACTAATTAAATACACCAGTGCAATTGATATTTCCCAAGGATCAATGCGAATGTGGGATCTGTTAATTAAATCCGTGATAATGTTTACTTATCATAAACATTTCCCATGTTTGAGCACAGTGAGATAGGGAGATAATATTTGCTGTCTGACAGATTAATTTTAGGACTAAGTAAAAATCCTTCCAGCACATATGGAGTGAACACCTTTGTTGTGAGGGAGACGGTTCTGCTGTTGAATGTTTATATTAAAAGTGTTAAAGGGAATCTTTCAAGCTTCTTCATACAAAAAGATAA